CAGTGTGTCCTTTGCAAGGCTCATATTTGGGAATTTCCTTTTCCTAGGATCTCAGGTGTGTTTACTATGTGCAGCGTTCTTCATTGACTATTTAGGGGCCACATACGGTGTAGGCTTTGAATTCTCTTCATCAGCTAATTCCTTCGCTTCCTTATTACTTATGTGTTAGCTACCCTATTTTTAGAAGACTAATAAAATACTACCACAGTAGTAATCCCAGAGCTATTTTTGTCCTGAGTGATGCAGAAGGGGCTGAGCTCACCCAGGGAGTGCCGAGTCCTCGGTGATACGGAGGTGTCTTGGAGGCAGCTCGTGGCAGCTGCTCTCCTGCTCACACCCTCCAAGACGATTGGCTTTGTACGGAGGCGACCTGGGAGGACAGTCCCATTTCCACTTGGCAGTAGGGAAGAGGAGAAAAACTATTCAAGCTTGACCCAAGTGCTGGTGGGAACATGACTCCCGTCATGAAAAGTTCCTCCTTGGCTGGGATGAAGTGCCTCTTTCTTCTCCTCTGACTATACTGGTGGAGGCCTCAGGGCCCAAGCTCACATTTAGATGTCTAACTCTGAGATGTCTAAATTACAGCAGATGAGGCCATCCTTCCCGGCCAGCATTTGCCAGGATCTTGGTGTAGGTCCCAGCCAGGGGCTGATCTCCCCGTTTCCCATTGTAGTCCGGGGATTGGCACTGCGGAGGGTGATTTACTCAGCGCTCCAAACTGCCTTCTGGGGGACTCTTCTTCTCTTGGCCAGAAAGGTATTTTGGGGGATCTTCTTCTGGCCAGGCTGAAGGTCTCCTTGTGAATCCTATCCCCCAGAGCTTGCAGACAACTTATTCCCCACGGCGTATTCCTCCCCTGGCGCTACAGGAGATAATTAGTGCGTGGCTAAGTCATATGTGCTGAGGGTCAGGAAAGACAATGAGGCAGATTTTACCCTGGAGTCAAGAAATGTCAGCAGAGTTGCACTGCAGTGAAATGATGGGATCTGCCAGTGACCCTGGCCCTTTCACTGAACAAACAGCCCGGGGCAGCGCCCTCCTCCAGAAGAATGGCATCGTCTGGCAGCCAGGCCGCCCTGTGAACGCGCACGGGAGGGCTTTCCCAGGGGCTGCTGGCCCCGAGAGACGCGCTGCCGAGAAGGGGAGCTGGGGGCTCGATACAAAACTCCTGTGCACAACGTAATTCCTCATGTGCTGCTGCTCGGCATTTCTGTAAAAACACACCTGAGCCCTCACGTGAACACAGTACCTGCCCCCGGGGGCAGCAGGAGGGAGAGCACGAGCTGGAAAAACCAATTTCCTAGGCAGTTCTGAGATATTTCAGTAGCACTTGGAGGCAGTAAAATCGAGCAGGGACGGCCTGGTTATCTTTGTCTTTGCCACGCACAGGTCAAGCAAGGTCTGGTCGCTTTTACATCCTTCCGTTCAGTTCCTCTAGTGCACAGGCGTTCTCTGTGTGCATCGGAAGGTGCGTGTTTAATGCTGCGAAAGGAGGTATCTCTGGCTGTTCCAGTGCTTCCTGGAGTAGGGAGATTCTCTTTACTGTGCCTGTGCTCCACATTAAACCCGATCCTCACCTGCACCCTTCCCCTCTCTGCCCCAAGCCTGTTACCTGACATTACACAGCACAGCGTGGAGACCAAGAGTAGCTACACCATGGGTCTGGGCTATAAAAAGGAAGAAAAAGCTCTGGATTTTTCAAGGGGATCTGACAATCCGGGAGAATTTCAACAAACTGTGATGGAAAATAAAAATAAGCTCTGTTGACAGGACAACAGTTTTTGCATTAAACCAAAATAATCCTCTTTGGTTTCACCTTGATGCTGATACGCTAAAAATGCCAATGTTGCTTTTTATTCTGCTCACATTTCTCTCCAGTTCCAGGTAAAAGACCAAATGTCTCTCACCCTGTTCTTGGCGACGCATCTGTCAAGTGTGCCCCCTTCCATTAGCCTTTGTGTCACTGATACCTTACTAATTTGTATCTTTGGGACTTAAGCCCCTTTATCTGTAAAAGATCATGTACGTAGTTGATATTCTAGTGCTGTAGTGGATTTTTCCAGTTACTACACACGGTGAAACGTCCTGTGCGTATGAGATGGCGGTGCAGCCCAGCATCAGTGGAACGTCTGTCTGTCCCCCGGCAGCTGGAGGCAGCTTGCTCGCTGGTGCTTTCAGCCCTGCCCTGGCCAATGGCCTCAGCATGCTGGTGTGCAAGGTGGGCAGCTTCCACGGGACTTGGAGTTGGAGCCTCGCTCTTTCGAGCTGCTTCCAACACGTGCTGCCCGCCTTTTCACGCTGCACTGCAGTGATAGCCACAAGCCCGTCATGGGGCGGGGGGAGCTGTAAAAAAAATGGTGTGTTCTGTCAGTGAGGGTTGAGCTGAGAGAAAGCAATGGCTGGGCTGGGGGGGTTGGAGCCGTGTTGCTGTTGCATGCAGTGGTGCTAGGAGCCCACCTCGCCCATTTGCCGAGGGTTCCTACGCCTGCCGCAGGGGAGGGAGTGGGGAGCGTGGCCCTGGGCCGGGTGCTACAGCCCCACGGCGCCAACCCCCTTCATCAGGTGCCCACCGTACCCCCCAGGCGAGATGCAGGACCCGACTGCCACCAGGCAGCAGCAGGCCCTGGGGGCCTGTAAATGCTTCGCTGTCTCTTGGGTGCTGCTTGACTCCTAAAACACCGCAGCAGCAAGGACCGTGGTGCCTGGGACCACCACACATTGCTCTGAGAGGGCTGAGAAAATTCAGAGAAGTCCACAGCGCTGGGAGCGAAGGCAGCTTTGCGCCGCTCTGACTCAGCTTGTTTAGGCGCCCATGTTGGAACACGTTGGCCCAAACGACTGCCTCTGCACAGTGGATGTGGGGAGACCTGGGGTTAGAGAGAGCTTTGCATGCTACTGTCAACATTCATTTAAAAATTGCTCCGCATGGGGCCTGAACTCGTGCAACCGAACACTTGACCGCATCCTGTAAAACAGGGCAGCGCCTGTATCTTGGGAGCTGTACCAAGTTGTCTCCAAGTGCTTTTAATTTGCTAATATAACCAGTGAGATGTGCTCGCTGTGTCCTTGCGCCCGGCCTCCCGCTGGAACAGCGTGTCAGGGCGTTAAAGGGACGCCAGTGTGCTTCTGTGAGGGGGCTCCTATGGACGATGGTTTGCACAGCCCAGAGAGAAGTCCGTCTCAGACGACACGTGTAACAGTGCATGTACGGCCAAAGCCAGTGATTAGTTTCCACATTAAAGGGATTTTATTTGCCTTCAGCGACACAGGCCACTGGGACCTCTTTCTAAAACTGGCAGTGCTTCCAAGTCCCTAAATAAAGCGACTGCATGACACAGACCTGAGGTAAAAGCTTGGGGTAGAAAGCAGAGAGGTGGTCTCACCAGAAGAGCACACAGGGTGGCTTTTGATAGGATGGCTAAAATGGAAGGAAACGTAGAAAAAGAGAGGGCCTAACGCAGGAGTCCTGCTCTGGTCTCATGAGCGGCATTCAGCACGGGCCGAAGGCTCCTGCAGGCCTCTTTTAAACTGGGCGACGCGAGGTTTTGTCCGAAGGACATCCCCGGGAAGGAGACGTCAGTCGTAGCCGGTGGGGCAGGCGACGCTCGCCTTCCCATGGCGCCACGGAGCTCTGGCGTCGAGCGGCTCCCCACGCCTGGAGCACGC